TATAGAAAATAAACTCCACATGTCGTCGTGGGTTACTGTTATCACAAAAAAGCCACCGATGAGCGAACGGCCTTGGATGACCGCAAGTCTCTTTCACGATGTGGGCATCCCATCCTCACGTGGATCTTTGTTTAATAAAATAAAGCCCTCCGTTGAGCGAATGTGCCAAGGGATGCAGCTGTGTTGTGGGACCCAGTAGTAGAAGTGAAGTAGGCTTCGTTGATCAAATCTTCTATTGTCAAAGACAAAAAAATCTCAACACGAGGCTGAATAGCTGCAAATTCGTGATGACACATTTATATATGTAGGAGAAATGAAGAGCCGGGTGAAGAAAAAGAAGAAGGTGGAGGTAATATACCAATTTTAGTAAATAAATATAGCTTATACCGTATTGACAAAGTGTTCCACCAATTTGTTGTAAGAGAAAAGAAAACCACAATGGACACTCTGAATGCAGAATCTTGACCAAATAATCATTTAGGCGAAGCAGATCATGACCGTTTTTGAGAGGGAAAAAAAATATATATATAAGTATATGGAAGAGGGAGGGATTTGAACCCACGAATGTCCATTGGACTGTCTGCAATTAGAAAAATCTCGTAAGTTTGCAGCGCCTTAACCAAACTCGGCCACCTCTTCTTGCTTTTTCGTGTTTGTGTTCTTCTCTGTTTATGAATTGGCTATTTAACCTCTGCGCCTCCAGTTAAAGATATTCACGTGACAATTCAATCAGTTTGTGGCCTATTTGGCCCCGCCACCGAGTGAACGGCCTGCCATTCTCACGTGGATCTTCGTTTAGTAATATAAACCCCTCCGTTGAGCGAATGTGCCAAAGGATGCAGCTGTGTTGAGGGACCCAGTAGTAGAAGTGAAGTAGGTTTCATTGTTTTTCGCCCCAGACAAAGATCAGTAACTGAAATTGACAGTAGATCAAATCATTTATTGCAAAGTTATCAAAGACAAAAAAATCTCAACGCGAGGCTGAATAGCTGCAAGTTCGTGATGGCACATTTATATATGTAGGAGAAATGAAGCTGAAGCAAGAGCCGGGGTGAAGAAAAAGAAGAAGGTGGAGGTAATATACCAATTTTTAGTAAATAAATATAACGTATACCTTGTTGACAAAGTGTTCTATCAATTTGTTGTAAGTAAAAAGAAAAACCCCGTCTAACGCTCTGCAGAATCTTGACCAAATAATCATTTAGGCGAAGCAGATCATGACCGTTTTTGAGAGGGAAAAAAAAAAAAAAAAAATGGAAGAGGGAGGGATTTGAACCCACGAATGTCCATTGGACTGACTGCAATTGATAATATATATCTTCCAAAGGGGTGTGCAGCGCCTTAACCCGACTCGGCCACCTCTTCTTTTTTGTGCTCTTTGATACTTGTGTTTGTTTATATAATGGCTATTTTAACCATTTTAACCTCAACGCCTCCACTGCAAAACACGTGACATTACTTTGCGCCGTCTTGGGCACCACCCAGCGGTTGCAGATGAGATGAGAGTACTTCATTACGATAAAATGATAATGTTCCTGAATTGAGTCTGGTTCCTAGCAAATGAACATGTTGGGAAATGGTTTCAGTGTATTCAAGGCTAATTTTTGATAAGCCGCGCTTTGGGTATCATTGGTGATTTATGTAGAATAATAAACACCATTTGTCGCGTGGGTCAAAAAATATGTATAAATGGGGGTGCCCTGAGGAAAGTAAATGAAAAATATGTGGAAGAGGGAGGGATTTGAAGCTTGCTTCACAGCTAATTAATTTGGAAACCAAGAATGTAATGCGAGCACAAACAAAAAAAAAGAAAAGTATCAGAGCCAAAAGTGGGAGTGGTAGAGAGGATATGTTCGTGCATAACTACTAAATCATTTTTAGATCGCAGTATAAATATTCCTAATGAAAAAAGTACACACTCTATATACACCATGTTTCTGCAATCAGCTGGTTGACCAAGATAAAGCGAGAATATATCCGTTTATGTATCTATTTTATTATTTTTGTATTACAAGTCAAATGACATTAAATCGACTCCACCGCCCTTGTTTCCAGAAACAACAGCAGCTGTGGTATCTGTACGGTATGGGTTTTCAGCATTCATCTTTTGCTCATAGTATTCCTGGTTTCCAATAGAAGCCTCTGCTACTTGCTCAAATGATTGCTCATGGTAGGATAGCCGCTGGTGTTGAGGTTGTTTAGGGGATGAGACAAGATCATCCAGGTTGCCATTGTTGGTATCATTGTGAGCGCCATACAAACGATCGTATGAATCTTGGTGAATTAACTGTCCTCTGCCTGCTCCATAGTTTTGTCGTCGTAATGTAGGTGATGGAACGAGGAATCGTGGTTTACAATGAGGGATAAAGGTTGTTGGAGCCTTATGGTAGATGGCAGAAAGGGAAGCAATATGTAACAATAATTCTTCCAGCAATACAGGATCCATATTATCTGTCTCGGTAGAAATATGAGGTTTCTCAGAGAGCACAACAGCCTATCATAACCAATAATTAAAATTGATCAGAAAAAAAGAAACAAACAAACAAACAAACAAACAAATCGCAATTGCCTCTATATTTTTACCTTGGCTGCTGCAACGTCTGTTGAAAGAAGGCGCCAGTAGATATAACCACGATCCCTAAGATCTGGATTGTCGACTTCTTCAGTAGCCCATTTGAGGACCTTGGGTACCAAATCCTGTCCTGCAGTGGGCCTCTTGATAAATAATTTGACTGTTGCTGTAAGGAGTGCGAGCTGAACTTCCACTGTCTCTTCAAGGAATGCATACAAAAAGTCGTCCAAGAGCTCGTCAGAATTTTCGATTCTGTCGGCATATTGTCCAATGATCCAGATCATAGCAGCCTTGGCCTCGGGCTCGTCCAAGTTATCCAAATTCTCACACAGTACTCCAATAATACTCTCGTATTGATTTGGGTATTTCCTAAAGATATCCTTAATAACAACAATTGATTCCTGAACGACATAGTTGACTTTGGTCTGGATTAACTCCAATAATGCTTCCACGCATTTTTGAGCAGTTGACTCAATCTTTACAGCCAATCGCCCAATTGATCTAACTGCCTTCCTGACAAAATCTACGTCAACTTCTGTAGCATACTCTTTAAGCTCGGACAAAACTTGCTCCACATTATGCTCGCTTGCTAAGCGGAACATAATTTCCAGTTTAGCCATCTTGACATAAATTGGGTCGTTATATTTGCAGAAGAAAATCTTGATGTCATTCTTAAGGATATCTGGGTGCTTCTGAATGACAAGTAAGATATTTCTCAAGCCCACATACTGAACTTCTGGTCCGCTTGACAACAATGTTACTAAAAATTAAACCGAGGTTAGATGATTTAAAAACTCTGGTTGGTGGTGACTGTGTAAAATTATCCAAATCTACTCACCAAGTGGGGGGGAGAGTTTCTTGCACATGTTGGCAATATCCTCTTCCTTGGCCATATAGTTCATCAAATAGACAATGACTTTGACAGCAGTCAAGACTACTGCAGAGTTAGCATGTTGAAGTCGTGGTGCAATACGTTCTGCCAATATTTCCGCATCACCAGGCTCCTGGGGAACAACAAATAATAGAGATTCTAGGATATAAGTCTGCCCCCATCTAGTTTTAGAAATAGATATCTATACTCATTAGAAATCCATGGAACTGTAGGATAAATGATGAACTGTCCAATCCGAAAAGGCTCTCATCATTATCATTTCATTGCTCTCCCAAACGAAGTTCAAAAAGAAAAAAACCTTACTCCGAGCACTCATTCAAGGCAGCGACTAGTTTGCTGGCAGTAGACATGTTGAGTTTGAGTTGAATATGGTCCGATCTTTCAGAAATCTCTGTTAGCGCTGCAATAGCATTTGCCACTACCTAATAGTTGAAAGACAAATAGGTATAGGTTGTTAGTTTACTGACATGTCGTAAAATTATCGTGCCCAAAGGTATCGACATGGTAATTACTGATGGATTAGAGTCGACAAGCATTTCGCGTAAAAGATCGATGAATCCTGCTTCCTCAACAAGGTGACGATCCTGCATAAACAGTTTGGCGACACAGATTGCAGCGGTTTTTCGAACATATGGATCCTGATCACGCATGCAATGGCGCAAAGGTTGAATAAGGCAAGAAGTGACTTTCTCTACATGAATATAGCCCATAGTACGAATAGCCAGTGCTCGGATCAATGGATTTGGATCCTCAACGTCCTGGAAGGAGAAGAGGGAGAGTATGATATAAATTAGTGACCGGTTTGATGCTCTCTGATTTCACAACGATAAAGCTGTGGAGAACAAAAGGAATTAAAATATATATATAAATATTAATAAAAAAGAGTACTTACTCTGCGAAAAGTATTAATAGCATCAATAGCCATATCTGGCTTTCCTTTAGCATAGTTGATCAAGAAAAGGTAGACCATCTTTTTGACTTCAAGCACTGGAATGGCCATGCAAGCAATGACATCTGGATAAAGCGAAGACATGTCGTTTCCCATTGTCATGTTTGCAACAATCTTTTTCAGGGTTGCTTTTTTACGAGTGTAATTCTTGTCCTTTTTATCAGAATTTAACTCGAGGCGAAGTTCCTGGATCTTGCCTAGAAGAAGAAGGGGAGGAGGACATCATGTAAAGGGAATTGAAGGTATATCATTAGAATGAATTGTTATTTCTTTGAGTCTCTCGAGTGATGAATGTTGTATTGAGAAGAGATGGGGAAGACTGCAATTATGTGTATGTAGATGAGTGTATACCTCGCTGGAAGAACTTTGCGTCAGACATTGTATGAATAAACAAAGCTCAATAAGAAATGAAATGATTAAGAAGAGCGAGATTCAAAAGAGATGATGTTTAATGGCACAAAGTTATGAAAAGATGAGAGAGAGGGACAAGGACAAGGTCAAGGAAAAGAATAGAAAGCAAAAAAAAAAGGTGAAGTTGCAAGTAATAAAACAAAATAAATTTTATCACGTCAAGCCTGTCACTTCATTTCGCATGCAAACCGAGCGAGGAATAAAACTACCTTCATCTCACTTTCTCTCTCTCACTCTTTTTTTTCTCCCTCATCTTTCATCTTTGCACAATTAACCTCTTGTAATAATATTCATGTCTAAAACTATTCCTATAAACACAAGTACTGGTGCTACCACCTTGGCTGCTCCAGTTTCATTACCAGATACTCATTCTACTCCAACTCAACCCTCAGTCATCTCTCGTCGCAATTCACAAAAACCTCAGCCTCTTACAGGCCTAAAGTTTCTTAACGACCTCCTTGGAGACCATGATCATGATTTCGATAATGAAAATGTAATTGACGCTGTCGTAGCTGCTTTCATTCCAGAGAAGCAAGTACTGTGCTTGTTGGCGTCATTTTCGCCAATACCTCCCCTACTTACCTACTGTCTTACAATCCTTACACGTAGGATCTGATCAAAGGCGCAGCATCCCCAAAACCCGATCAGGAATCATCATTATCTCTCTTTTTTCAAGACGACTTGGCATTTGAGCAAGTAGGAGGTACGGACAGACTATCTGCAGGCTGTTTCATATAATATTTCAATGGTTCTAAAACTTTCTCGTGTTTTTTTTTTTTTTAGATCGGATATCAGAATTTCAAGAGGATGAATTTGTCAAGGAGGCGCTAGCAAAGGTATAAAGAGATTTTCATGATGTTGAGGCTCTGGTTCTTAACGACCAAATTCTAACAAAAAAAACGGGATTGATCTGCAATTCTAGGGCATGGATCTTCGCGAGTATGCACATCACATCGAGAGCGAGCTGGATCATGTAGGGCAGGACCATGAAGATGATTGTAGGTGAAGAAGGCTTTTGGTTACTCAACGCGCCTTTTTTTCAATCATGGACTGATTCCATCTGTGTTATCTCCAATCATTTTTTTTTACATTGCTTGTAGATATCCATCAGAGCCAGGCGTTTGTGGATTTACATGGACAGATCAAATCATGCGATGAAATACTCGAAACTATGGAGAATCTACTCAGTATCTTCCAGACAGATCTAGGCAATATCTCAACAGAAATTCAGACACTACAGACAAAATCCGTATCTATGAGCATTCAACTGAAAAACAGAATGTCCGTAGAAAGTCATCTGAATGACCTTTTAGAGGGGATTTTGATAACACCTCAATTGATCCGCAAAATCTATGATGGCGAAATAGACGAAACGTGGCTTTCAGCTCTTGCAGAACTTAACAGTAAGATGTATAACGCCAAATCGAGACAAGGAAGACACATTAGAGCATTGAAGGAGGTTGGCCCCGAGCTGGAACGTCTACGTGTTAAGGTAAGCCTTTGAGTATAAAAATATAGGGAATACTACACAAGCACAAGCT